AATGTGAATATTATATGAACATTGTTTGTGCTTTAGCGTTGTTCCTTGACCTCGTGTTTGGAGCTCGGTCTGAGTCTGAGGCGCTCTGACAGAGGAACAGAAACACATCAGAGCAGAGCGGGGAGTGCGTCATGTTAATTGTGACCATTTCAATTTGTTTTATCAACCAAGCGTAAAACATATTTATCAATGAAGTGCCTTTGATGTGGAGGACTCGCTGCACAAAAGCCGCTTCCATTATGTAAATGAAGAAGTGTTTATGTAGAATAACGCAGAAACATTTAGCGCCGCTGCAGTTCTAACGCGCCGTTTATTTTCAAAGTTACTTAAGGGACGTATTATGGAACTGTTCAAGCTACAGCACCGCTCCTCCTCAAAAACACTTCCTCAGCTGTGAGGAAACTCCCCCCCACCGTGAGTTCACTCTCCCTGTGTGGTTTTATGGACCTGTCTTGCATTGGGGGGTAGGGGGTGACTGAGGTGGAGGCTGTGGTTTGGTCGTTTGTTCTTGAAAAATCCTCTGTGTGAGTTTAAAACCAGGACCATGATGCAGAGGGCGTCACAGATAACAGGTGTGGGAAAGAGAGGAGAGAGAGGAGAGAGAGGGGAGAGAGAGGCGAGAGAGGAGAGAGAGGGGAGAGAGGGGAGAGAGGGGAGAGAGAGGCGAGAGAGGAGAGAGAGGGGAGAGAGGGGAGAGAGGGGAGAGAGAGGCGAGAGAGGAGAGAGAGGCGAGAGAGGGAGAGAGAGGCGAGAGAGGAGAGAGAGGCGAGAGAGGGGAGAGAGGAGAGAGAGGGGAGAGAGGGGAGAGAGGAGAGAGAGGAGAGAGAGAGAGAGGGGAGAGAGAGGAGAGAGAGAGGAGAGAGAGAGGGAGAGAGAGAGAGGAGAGAGGAGAGAGAGGGGAGAGAGGGGAGAGAGGGAGAGAGGGGGAGAGAGGAGAGAGAGGAGAGAGAGGAGAGAGAGGGGAGAGAGAGGAGAGAGGGGAGAGAGAGGAGAGAGAGGGAGAGAGAGGAGAGAGAGGAGAGAGAGGAGAGAGAGGGGAGAGAGGAGAGAGAGGGGAGAGAGAGAGGAGAGAGGAGAGAGGGGAGAGAGAGGAGAGAGAGGGGAGAGAGAGGAGACAGAGGGGAGAGAGAGGAGAGAGAGAGGAGAGAGAGGGGAGAGAGAGGAGAGAGAGGAGAGAGAGGGGAGAGAGAGGGAGAGAGAGGAGAGGAGAGGAGAGAGAGGGAGAGAGGAGAGAGAGGGGAGAGAGGAGAGAGGAGGAGAGAGAGGAGAGAGAGGGAGAGAGAGGAGAGAGAGGGGAGAGAGAGGAGAGAGAGGAGAGAGAGGAGAGAGAGGGGGAGAGAGGGGAAGAGGGAGAGAGGGGAGAGAGGGAGAGAAGGAGAGAGAGGAGAGAGGGGAGAGAGAGGAGAGAGAGAGGGGAGAGAGAGGAGAGAGAGAGGAGAGGAGAGAGAGGGGAGAGAGGAGAGAGGGGGAGAGAGGGGAGAGAGGAGAGAGAGGGGAGAGAGGGGAGAGAGAGGGGAGAGAGAGGAGACAGAGGGGAGAGAGAGGAGAGAGAGGGAGAGAGAGGGGAGAGAGAGGAGAGAGAGGAGGAGAGGGGAGAGAGAGGATAGAGAGGGAGAGAGAGAGAGAGGAGAGAGAGGGGAGAGAGGGGAGAGAGGGGAGAGAGGGGAGAGAGAGGGGAGGAGGGGAGAGAGGGGAGAGAGAGGGAGAGAGAGGAGACAGAGGGTGAGCGAGTGGACAGAGAGAGAGAGAGGAGAGAGAAGGGAGAGAGAGGAGAGAGAGGGAGAGAGAGAGAGGAGAGAGAGGAGAGAGAGGGAGAGAGAGTGGAGAGAGGGAGAGGGGGAGGAGAGGGAGAGAGGAGAGAGAGGAGAGAGAGGGGAGAGAGAGGAAGAGGGGAGAGAGAGGAGAGAGAGGAGAGAGGAGAGAGAGGGGAGAGAGGAGAGAGAGGGGGTAATTAGAGGGGAGAGAGGAGAGAGGGGGAGAGAGTGGAGGAGAGGGAGGAGAGAGGAGAGAGAGGGGAGAGAGAGGAGACAGAGGGGAGAGAGAGGAGAGAGAGAGGAGAGAGAGGGAGAGAGAGGAGAGAGAGGAAGAGAGAGGAGGAGAGAGAGGAGAAGAGAGAGAGAGGAGTAGAGAGGAGAGAGAGGAGAGAGAGGGGAGAGGAGTGAGGGGTGAGAGGGGAGAGAGAGGGGAGAGAGGAGAGAGGGGAGAGAGGGGATGGAGAGAGGAGAGAGAGGGGGAGAGAGAGGAGAACATAGGGAGAGAGGGGACAGAGAGGAGAGAGAGAGGAGAGAGAGGGGAGAGAGGAGAAGAGAGAGGAGTGAGTGGTCGTTCTTCTCTCTAGGAGAGCGAGGAGAAGAGGAGAGTGTAGAGAGAGGACTAGCAGGACTAAGAGGATCCCTCTTCTCTCTTGTGGACGATCTGATGACTCAGGACACCAAAGTAAAGTCCTCCGTCTGATAATCATTAGTTGTGATTTTGGACTGAGGCTGTAGACCCAGGACTGAGGCTTTAGATCCAGGATGACCCAGGACTGAGGCTGTAGACCCAAGGACTGACCCAGTGACTGATGCTGTAGACCCAGGACTGAGGCTGTAGACCCAGGACTGAACAGGCTCCCAGGTGGAGAGGGAGGTTGCAGCCAACAAATCTATACAGTATATATTTGTTTTACTTACGATTGTATTTCTCAGTCTAACCTCCTCAGCCATAAACAAAACACTGTGGATTGTGACCGTTATGAAGGTCAGCGTGTTTTTGTACTGAATATAATTCAAATATTTGACCACTCTTACAACGATTCTCTGTAGAGGAGTCTCCTTCTGTGGCAGGGGCTCCAAACATTTTAGTACGAGGGCCACTTCAGTTAACCAGATGTGCTCAGGGGCCGACAACCCAGATAGTGAAACAGCTGTGACTGGATCGGGCTGTTCTGAGATTTAAAATGAGGCGTGATGAGTCTATAGAAGTTTACTCGTGTTTACATTCTCAGAGAGGACAGTAAAAACAGTTCAAAGTAAAAACAGTTAAACAGACAGGAGCATGTTTGTTTTGAAGTCTGGACTTTTTGATTATTTTTCCCTGGTTTAATTTTGCTGCATTTGTTCTATTTTGTATTTACTTCCTGTCTCTCCCTGATGTGTCCCTGTGTTCAGTCCCTGTGTGTCCATGTGTGTCCCTGTGTGTCCCTGTGTATCCCTGTGTATCCCTGTGTGTCCCTGTGTTCAGTCCCTGTGTGTCCATGTGTGTCCCTGTGTTCAGTCCCTGTGTGTCCATGTGTGTCCATGTGTGTCCCTGTGTGTCCCTGTGTATCCCTGTGTGTCCCTGTGTATCCCTGTGTGTCCCTGTGTTCAGTCCCTGTGTGTCCCTGTGTATCCCTGTGTATCCCTGTGTGTCCCTGTGTTCAGTCCCTGTGTGTCCATGTGTGTCCCTGTGTTGCAGTCCCTGTGTGTCCATTGTGTGTCCATGTGTGTCCCCTGTGTGTCCCTGTGTGTCCCTGTGTGTCCCTGTGTATCCCTGTGTGTCCCTGTGTTCAGTCCCTGTGTGTCCCTGTGTTCAGTCCCTGTGTATCCCTGTGTCCCTGTGTTCAGTCCCTGTGTGTCCCTGTGTTCAGTCCCTGTGTATCCTTGTGTTCAGTCCCTGTGTGTCCATGTGTGTCCCTGTGTGTCCAGTCCCTGTGTATCCCTGTGTTCAGTCCCTGTGTATCCCTGTGTGTTCCCTGTGTTCAGTCCCTGTGTGTCCCTGTGTGTCCCTGTGTTCAGTCCCTGTGTATCCCTGTGTTCAGTCCCTGTGTGTCCATGTGTGTCCCTGTGTGTCCAGTCCCCCTGTGTATCCCTGTGTATCCCTGTGTTCAGTCCCTGTGTGTCCCTGTGTTCAGTCCCTGTGTGTCCCTGTGTTCAGTCCCTGTGTATCCCTGTGTTCAGTCCCTGTGTATCCCTGTGTTCAGTCCCTGTGTGTCCATGTGTGTCCCTGTGTGTCCAGTCCCTGTGTATCCCTGTGTATCCCTGTGTTCAGTCCCTGTGTATCCCTGTGTTCAGTCCCTGTGTGTCCATGTGTGTCCCTGTGTGTCCAGTCCCTGTGTATCCCTGTGTATCCCTGTGTTCAGTCCTTGTGTGTCCCTGTGTTCAGTCCCTGTGTATCCCTGTGTGTCCCTATGCTGCTGTTTTCTTGTTGTTTTGTCTTGTTTCTGGTGACTTCTACTGTGACTTTTGGGCTGAGGTGTGTTAGACCCTCTTGGCTTCTCCCTGTGTGTTTGCATGTTCTCGGCTCCATGTGTGCATGCATAGGTTTCCTCTAGGAGTGCTCTCCGCGGTATCCCTCCCCCCTCCCTCTCCCCACCCACTAAAACGTAAATTATAATTATGTTAAAAAATCTTCTGACTTCCCCTCGTTTCTGGTCTCCGGCGAAACCTCGTGAAGAATCAGTATTTGCCCCAACCCCCTCTCCCCCTCCTCTGCTTCCCGTCTTTCCTCTCCTTCTCTTTTCTTCCCTTTTCCCTCCCCCCCCCTCTCCTCCTCCCCGCTACCTCCTCCGTGCTCGCCCTCCTCCTTCTGCCCCCTCTTTGTTTTTTTTTTGTCTAGTAATTTCCTCCCCTCCTCTGCTCCCTCTTTTATCCCTACTCCCCCCCGTGGCTCTCTCCTCTCTATTAAAGTAGTTAAGTAAGCTTTATTTTATATCCGACCTTTCACCAAAGCCAGAGTCACAAAGCGGTTTAACAAAAAAACAACAAAATAAAAAAAAAAAAAACAAATGGTCATTTTTTTCCACACAGAGAAAGAGAACGTAGAGGGGCGTGGGCCAGGTGCGGCATGCCAGAACTATTGTACACATGTTTTTTGTAGTGGTAGGGGGAATCCGGGAGTTAGCCTGTGAGGAAACCTACGCAGGACACAGTGAAGAGCATGCAAACTCCACTCAGAAAGGCCTGGTCTAGAAGAAGGAACACCCCGGGGATTCGACCTTTCAGAGACCTACTTCTTAGTGGGGAGGCCGCTTTTGCAAGGTTATGAAAAACTCCCCGTCAGCGGACAGGCCACCTAGCCTGGCCTCACGTCGGAACAACCTCCATGAGAAACACCCCACTCACCTGCCCATCCTCTTCAAGCCTCCTCATCCTTACCAACCCCCCGACGAATCGGACCACCCGGCTCCGCCACCTCCACTCTTCCAACGCAAAACCCGCCAGTGCGCGCCCCACCCCGCTCCTGCCCCCCACAACTCCACCGGGCCATAAGCCCCCCTCTGCTCTTCGCTTCTGTCTCCTCCTTCCCTGCCCTCCCTCCCGTGCTCCTCATGCCACGAGGCTGTGGTTATTTTTGTTATTAGCCGACAAATGTCTCATCCAGTGGACCCCATTCTCATCCATGAGTGTTTACGGTTGAGCGGACAACACGTGGCTTTAATTTTATACTTGTGTTTTGTGTTGTTTGTATGATTGTGTGTTTGTATGATTGTGTGTTTGTGTGTTTGTGTGATTGCGTGGTTATGTGAGTGGTGTGTGCGGCGGTTACACAATCTGCTGTCCGTCAACTAGAGCTCCAAAAACACTGTCCGGACTAATGATGGGTTGTGAATCACTGTCATGTTGTATTCTAATGCACAGAAATGCCCCATGAGAGGAACCCGGCCTATACTACAGACACGTTCCCCCCACCAGAGAAAAGTTCACTCACTCCCGACAAGACACATACCCAATAAGACAGCTCTCTTATTCCGTTAAATGGCCCATACAAACACTCCGAAGCCCTCCTACTCATCCACACGGCCCCCTTTACCGCACAGTAATAAACCACAGTTATCTTACTATTCCCAAGAAACCCACGAGGTCCCCTGTTCCGCCCCGTGTTTTTTGGACCCTATACAAAAGTATATTATATAAAACCCATGTTATTCTTTTGTGGTAATAATTCATGCTGCCGGATGATTATTCTTCTTGATACAGGAAGCTTCTACCCTTTAGGACTCCCTCTTCCCGTAGGGAGGCTGTGTCGAGTTGCCAGCGGAGATGACCCACAGACTGTATTCTTATATGTAGGGCTTACGGGTCACACAGGAACACTGTCCGGGTGTCATATAAGTAAATTCCTCCTCAACCCCTGACCGCCATGAAACTCAACCCCTTAAGCAGAGTACACCAGAAGGAGCCAAATAGATAACTTGTCCGACCCACACCATTCACCGACCCCGTAGTACCTAATATTTATTAATTATATAACGTGAAAACTCCCCAAAACACTAAAAAGTCGCCATTCAAACAACACAACAACCACACCCACCAGCTTCTTATTATTACCATCTCATCTCATCATTGCACACCAAACCAACCCAACCATTGTATTTACGGAAATTTAACAAAGACCTCAAACAATTACCACCCGTTAGAAAATAAGATATCTATATACTTGCTCCACACACACCATTTAACCAATATGGGTCACACTCATAATGGCCATATAACTATCAGCCCCATCATGTGTTCTTTAAGAGGATGAACAAAGCCCTCCTATGCCCGGTGGGAGGCCGGGGGCGGGGGTCCCGGACTTTGGGGTTTCTGGGGTGTTACTACCGATCACAACTCCGCAGCAACATGTCGGGCCTGTGGTCCTCTCTCTGGTCCTGACACAGCCTCATGATCAGATGGAACTGACCACAGACTCCCCCTCCTTATACCGCCTCCTCCTTATCCACGCCTCCTCCTACCCCACCTCCAACATGTGTTTACAACTACTTTTGACAAACGGTACCAAAAACCCTGGTCCTGGCAGTGTGAAAATGGGTAGCGAAAGCTCCCATCATGTAAAAATAGAGCTGACCCGTGTGTGATCGACTCTGGCTTCGGATTTAAGACATTTCACAACTTCAACTATCAAGTGAATGTTTATATGTATTGGGATCCAAAATGAAGACTATACATAATACGTGTTTTCGCCCTCTAAGATCATGTATCTGTGATTAGCATAAAATCAGTGATTCAACACGGGCGTGGAAAGAGTATTGTGGTGAGCTCAGAGAACTTGAGAGCAAATGAGTGTGAACCTCCGCACAACGACCACACACCGAACCCACTTCAATCACACAAACGGAAAAACACAAACAACACAAACAAACAAACACACAATCGCTACAACACAACAACACATTATACATATCCACGTTTTCCGCAACCACACCAATCCCACACGGATTGAAGTGATTGTAGAGTCCACTGGAACAAAATGGGGTGTTTGGGGTGGGGGGGGGGTTGGGGGGGGTTGGTTGGTGTGGTTGTGTTGTTGTATGTGGGGTGGTGGTGTTGGGGGGTGGGGTGTTTTGGGTGGTGGGGGTTGGGTGGTGTGTTTTGTATGGGTGGTTGGGTGGTTGGTTTTGTTGAGGGGTTGTATGGGTGTTTGGGTTTTAGGTGGGTTTGGTGGTGTTGTATTTGGAATGTGGATGTGTGTTGGTTTTTGGTGTTGGTGTTTGGGGTTTGTGTGGGTTGGTTTAGTTTTTGAGGAATGGGGTGTGTTTGGGAATATTATTTGGAGTGTTTTGTTTGTGTGTATGAATGATGAAGGGGGAGGAAAAGGTTTAATGGATGGAGGGATGGATTAGGGGAAAAGGATATTATATGTTAGTGGTGTGTTGTGTGGGTGTGGTATGAAGGGGGATTTGTGGTTTATGTTTTGTTTTTTGGTTTGTGGATGTTTTGGGGTGTGGGGGGGGGGGGTTGGGTTGTTTATTATTGGTTTTGGTGGGTTGTTGGGGGGTGTGGGGTTGTTTGGGGAGTTGTTGGTTTGGGTGTGGGTTGGGGGGTATTTGGGGTGGTTGTTTGTTGGTTGGGGGGTTGGGGTGGGGTGGTTTTGGGGTTTGGGGTTGGGGGGGGGGTGTTTGGGTGGTGTGGTGTTTGGGGTTTGTGTGTGGGGGTTTTGGGGTGGGGGGTTGGTTTTTGGGGTTGGTTTGTTTTTGGTTGTGTGGGGTGGGGTTTTGGGGGGTGTGGGGTTTTGTGTTGATGTGTTTGTGAGGTTGTTTGGGGGTGGGGGGGTGGAGGTATTTGTGTGTTATTTGTATTTATTTTTGTTTGGTTGTGTGGGGTTGGGGTGGTGGGTGTTGGGTTTTGGGTAGTGTGGGTTTTGGGGTGGGTGTGTGTGGGGGGGTGGGTGTGGGGTGTTGGGTGTTGGGGTTGGGGTTTTGGGGGGTGTGGGGGTGGTGGTTTGTTTGGTGGTTTTGGGGGGTGTTTGGTGGGTGTGTGGTGGTTGGTGGGGGGGGGGTGTGGGGGGTGGTGGTGGGGTTGGTGTGGTGTTGGGGTGGTTGTGGTGGGTTGTGGTGGTGTGTTTTTTTTGTGGGGGTGTTGTGTTTGGGGTGTTGTGGTTGTGGGTTGTGGTGTGGTGGGGGGGGGTTTGTGGGTGGTGGGGTTTGTTGGGTGGGGGTGGTGTTGTTTGGTGGGGGGTGGTGGGGGTGGGGGGGTGTGTGTTGTGGTGGTGTGGGGGGGGGGGGGTGTGGGGGGGGGGTTGTGGGTGTTGTGGGTTTGGTGTTGGGGGGGGGTGGGGGGTGTTGTGTGGGTGTTTTGTTTTTGTTTGTTGGGTGGTGTGTGTGGTTGTTGTGTTGGGTTGGTGGTTTTGTTGGGGTTTGTTTGGTGTGTGTGGGGTGTTGTGGGGGTTGTTGGTTGGTTGGTGGTGTGTGTTTTGTGTGTTGGGGGTGGTTTGTGGTTTGGGTTGGGTTTGTGTGGTGGGGGGTGGGTTGTTTTTTTTGGTTATTTTTTGGGTTGGGTGTGTGTGTGGGGGTTTGGTGATGGTGGGGTATATTGTGTTTTTTGGGGTTGTGTTGATTGGGTGTTGATTAAGGGTTTGTGTTAGTATATTAGTTTGGTGGGGTTTGTGGGGTGTGTTGGGGAGGATTGAGGGTTTGAGAGTGATGTGGTGTGTTGGGGGGGGGGGGGGTATTGTGGGTTGGTGGTGGGTGTTGGTTGGGGTGGGTGGTGGGTGGGGTGTTGGTGTTGGGGGGGTGGTGGGGATGGGGGGGTTGGGTTTGGGGTGTGTTGTGGTGGGTGTGTAGTTGGGGGGGTTGGTGGTGGGTATGTTAGGGGGGGGTTGTTTGGGTGTGGTGTAGGTGGGGTGGTGGGGGGTTGTTGTGGTGGGGGTGGTTGTGGTTGGGTTTTGTGGTGGTGTGGGGGTTTTTTTTGGTTGTGGTGGGGGTGTTTGGGGGGGTTGGGTTGGTTTTTTTTTGGTTGGGGGGGGGGGGGGGGTGGGGGGTGGTTGTTTGGGGTTGTTGTGTTTGGGGTTTTTGGGGGGGGGTGGTTGTGGTGGTGGGGGGGGTGGGGTGGGGGTGTAGGTTTGGTGGGGTGGTTGGGTTGGGTGGGTTGTGTGGGTTGGGTGGTGGGTTTTGTGTTGTTGTGTGGTTTGTGGTGATTTTTTTTTTTTGTGGTGGTGGGTTGGGTGGGGGTGGGTGGTTGTGGGGTGGTTGTAGTAGGGGGGGGGGATTTGTTGTGGTGATGGTGGGGGGTGGTGGTGGGGGTTTGTGTGGGGGGGGGGGGGGGGGGGGGGGGTGGGGTTTAGTGGTGTTTGGTGTGTGAGGGGGGTGTTGGGGGGGGGGTGGGTGGTGTGTGTGTGGGGGTGGTGTGTTGTTGGGGTGGGGTGGGGTGTTTTGTGGGGTTTGTGGGGGGGGGGTGGGGGGGGGGGGGGGGGGGTTGGTGGGTGTTTGTGGGGGGGGGTGAGTTTGTTTTGGTGTTTTGTGTGTGTTGGTTTTGGGGGGTGTGTTTGGGGTTGGTTGGGTTTTAGGTGTATTTTTTATTGGTGGGGGGTGTTTGTTGTGGATGGTGTGTTGTGGTTTTGGGGTGGTGTGTTGGGTGTTTGGGTTAGAGTGGGGGGTTTGTTTTGTGTGGTAGGGTTTGTGTGGTTGTTTGGGTTGAGGGTTGGGGGTTGTGGGGTTGGTGGGGTTGGGTGTGGGGGTGGGGGTGGTGTTGGTGGTTTTGTTTTGTGTTTGTGTTTGGGTGTTGTGTTTTGTGGGGTTGGTTTTTTTTTGTGGGGGGATGTGGGGGGGGGGGTGGTGGTTTGGGGGGTTTGGGGGTGGGTGGTGTGGGGGTTGGGGTTTGTTGTGTGGTTGTGTGGGGGGGGTGGGGGTGGTTTGTGTGTTTGTTGGGTTGGTGGGGGTGGGGTGGTTGTGGTTGGTGGGGAGGTGGGGGGGATGGGGGGGTGAGGTAGTGGTTGGGATATGTGATTGATTTAGTTGGTGGGTGTGTGTGGTTGGAGTTTAGTTTTGGTTTGTTTGGAAGATGATAGGTAGTATGAAGATGAAGGAGTATGTAGATGGAAGGAATATAAGATGAAGTGAGTATGGATGAAGGGGGGAGTATGGAAATGATGGAGTATGGGAAGATTAATGAGTATAATATGAAGGAGTTATGAAGATGGAAGTGATATAAGATGAAGGTGAGTATAAGATGAAAGAGTATAAGAGTGAAGGAGTATAAGTATGGAAAGTAGTTTAAAAAAGATGAAGGTGATATAAGATGAAAGGGGGGGAGTTATAAGATGGAAGGGGGAGTATAAGATGGGAAAGGGAGTATTAAGATGAAGGGAGTTAAGATGAGGGTAAGATGAAGGTGAAGGGGGGGGTTGGGGGATGGAAAGGAGGTGGATGAAGAGGGATGTTGAATAGGAGGGGTTTGGGGTTATTAGAGAGTGTGGGGGTAGGTGTAATGTTTTTGGATGGAGAGGGGGGGAAATTATGTGTTGGGGAAGTTGAGTAATGGTTAATAAGGATGTATTGAAGAAGGAGTTGGATAGAATTTTGATATGATAGTATGTAAGATTGAGAGGTTGATTGATGGGGATATGTAATTGAAATTTTGTTTTAATTATTTTTTTGAGAGAGGATGAGTGTGTGGGTGTTTTGTGAGTGTGTGTGGGTGAAGAGAGAGTGATAGGAGAGAGAGGAAGTGTTATGGAGAGTATGGAGTAGAGTGTGGAGTTGAGTAGGAGAGTGTGGTGTGTGTGGTGTGAGAGTAGTGAGTGAGAGGAGTAAGGTATGTGTGTTGTGGATGAGAGTGGAGGATGGTGTGGTGTAGAGGTGTGTGTGGTGTGTAGTGTGGGTTGTGTGGGTGTAGTTGGTGATGAGTGAGATATGTGTGTAGTGGATTGTGATAGAGTGTTTGGAGTAGTGTAGTGTGTTGTGGATTGTGTGTGTGTGTGTGGTGTGTTGTGTGTGTGGTTGTGAGTGGTAGTGTTTGGTGTGTGTGTGGTGTGTGTGGTGTGTTTGTGTGTGTTGTTTGTGTGTGTGTGTTGTGTGGTTGTTTGTTTGATGTGGGTTGGGGTGTGGGGATGGTGTGTTTTGTGGGGTGGTGTATGGGTTGGTGGTGGGGTTGGTGTTGTTTTGGTTTGGTTTTTTGGTTGTGTGTGTTGGTGTTGTTGGGGGGTTTGGGTGGGGTGGGGTGGTTTGGGGGGTTTGGGTTGGTGGGGTTTGGGGTTGTTGGGTGTGGTGTTTGGGGGGGGGGGTTGGTGTGGGGGGTGTGGTTGGGGGAGTTGGGGTTTGTGAGGGGGGGTTGTGTTGGGGGTTTTGTAGGTTGGGGGGGTTTGGGGGGGGTTGGGGGGGGTGGGTTTTTGGGGGGTTGGGGGGGGGTTGTGGGTGTGTGGGGGGGGGTGTGGGTTATGTGTGTTGGTGTTTTTGTGTGGTTTGTTGTGTTTGTGTGTTAGTGTGTTGTTTGTTGTGTTTTGGTTTTTTAGGTTAGATTAGTGTTATAGGGGGGGGGGGGGTTTGGGATTGGGTATTTGGTTGGTGGGTTGAAATTGTTGTGGGGTGGGGGGGGTGGTAAGTGGGGGTTGTATTTTGAGGGTAGGTTGTTTGTTGTTTTAGTGGGTGTTGGGTGTGGGGGTGGGGGGGGGTTTGAGGGGGGTGGGAGGGGTGGTTGGTTGAATTTTGATTTGGGTTATGGTGGTGTTGTGTGGGGGGGTTGGTTGTGATATGTTTTTTTGTAGTATTTGTTTGGTTTTTTATGGGATTTGTGGGGGGGGGGGTGGGTGGTGTAGATTTGGTTTTGAGGGAGGTTTGAGGGTGAGGTTGGTTTTTGGGGTTGTTGTTGTGTTATTGTTTTGGGTATTTTTTGGTGAATATGTTGGTGGGGTAGTTTTTTTTGTTTGTGATGGTGGTGGGGGGTGGTGTATGTTGGGTGGGTATTTAGGGGTTGTAGAGTAGGAAGAATAGAGATATGGGTTTGTGTTTGTTTTGGGGATGGGTTTGTGTTTGTTGGATGGGGTGGTGGGAGGGAGGGGTTAGGAATGTGTTTGGTGTGTTAGTAGGTTGGTTGGTAGAGGGTGGTATTGTATTGATTGGTGGTGTGGGTGGGTGGGGTTTGTGTTGGTTTTTGGGTGGTGTGGTTGGTGTGGGTGGTTTTTGGGTGGGGGGTTTGTTGTGTGTGGGGTGGTAGGGGTGGGGTGGGGTGGGTGGGGGGGGGGTGTGTGGGGTTTTTTTTTGAGGGTGGTGGTTGTGGGGGTTGTTTTGGGGGTGTTATTAGATTGGTTGGGGGGTTTGGGTGATATGTGGTGAAGTATAGTTAGATTGTATTTGTAGGGATTGGTTTTTTTATATAGGAATTTGAGGGATTATGGGGTTGGGTTTGTGGGTGTTGTGTTTGTGGGGGTAGTGGGGGGTTTGTTTTTTTTTTGGTTTGGGTTTTTGGTTGGTGTGGGGGGGTTGGTTGTTGGGTTGAGGGTGTTTATTAGGTATGGAGGATGGGGTTGTGTATGATTGTTGTTTTTTGTTGGGGTGGTTGTGTGGGTTGGTGATTTGGTGGTGGGGATTAGGTGGATAGGGATTTATGTAGATGGGGGATGGATGAGAGGTTGAAGAGGTGTTAATGGAATGGGGGTTAGGTGGGGGTATGTGGTTTTTTGGTGTGTTGTTTTTATGAGTGTTTTTTTTTGGAGGGGTGGGGTTGGTTTGTGGTGTAGTGTGTATTGGGGTGTTATGGTGTTTGGGTGTGGTAGTTGTGTATGGGGGTTTTGGTGTAGGGTGGGGGGGGGTGATTGTTTTTGATTTGTTTTGAGGGTGGTTGGATTTGGGTGGTGTTGTTTGGTGGTGGTGGGGGGGGTGGTGGGTTTGGTGGGGGTTGTGGTGGTGGTGTGTGTTTTATTTGATTGTATGTAAATAAGGAATGTTATTTAAAATGTAAGATTTTATTGTGGAGTTGGTTGAGGTTGTGTATGGGGGGGGGTTGTGATGGGTGGTTTGAGAATTTTTTAGGAGAGTGGGGTTTTGTAGAGGGGAGGTGGAAGAAAAAGGATTTAAGTTATTTTATTGTTTTAGTATGATGTATAGAGTAGGGTGTGGTTATTGTTGATATGTGTGGGGTGGAGTTGTTGGGGTTTGATTGTTGTGGGTTGTGGTGTTTTGTGTGTTTGGGGGGGGGAGGGGGTGGGGGGGGTGGTGGGGGTGGGTGGTTTGGTGTATGGGTTTAGGTTTTGGGTTGTGGGGTGTGGGTTTGTGGTTGGTTGTTGGTTTGTTGGGGGGGTGTTTTTGGGGGTGGTGGGGGGGGGGGGTTGTTGGGGTGAGTGGGTGTTGGGGGGTGGTGGTGGGTGTGGGGTGGTTATGTTATGGGTTTGAGTGTATTGTTATAATGAAGGAGGGGTTATTTTATGGTTTTTTTGTTTTTATTTTTTTATTTGTAGAATGGTTATGTTTTTTGTTGGGAGTTAATTGGGAGTGAAGTTTATTTGGGTTTTTGTGTGAGTTGTGGTTTTGGGTGATTGGTGGGTTTTGTGGGGGTGGTTGTTGTGAGGAAGAGAATGGTATGGTTTGATTAGAGTTTGGGTTTTTGTTTGTTGTGTTGAAGTTGTTAGTGGGTGATGGGTGTTTGTTTTGTATTGTTGTTTAAGTGAATTGTATGTGTAAGGGGTGGGTGGGGTGGTGTGGTGGGGGGGGGGTTATGTTTTTTTGGGGGGGGTGGGGTGGTTGTTTTGTTTGTTGTATTATGGTGTAGGGTGGGTATGGTTTTTTTATGTGTAAGGTTATTGTTTTTTGGTGATGGAAATGGAGGTTGGTATTGGTAGGTTTATTAAGAGGGTTTGATAGTGGGGGGATGTGGGGGGTGGGTGTGTTGGGAGGGTTTAAAGGAGATGTGTGTTTTGGTGGGTTTGGGGTTGTAGGTTGTTGTTGTTTGTTATGTGGTATGTGTTTGTTGTTGTTGATGTTATGTTTGTGGTGTAGTTTTGGTATGGTTGTTTGGTGTGGGTGGGTGGGTTGGTTGTATTTTGTGGGGAGGTGTTTGGTTGGTGGTGGGGGGGGGTTGGGGGGTTGGGGGGGAGGGGTTGGGGGGGGATTGGTGGGGGATTTGGGGTGGGGGGTGGTGGTGTGTTTGGGTGTGTTTAGGTTTGTTTGTTTGTGGTTGTTGTGTAGGTGGGGTGGGGGGGTGGGTGGTGTGGGGGTGGGGGGGTGTTGTGGGTGTGTGGTTTTGTTTTGGTGTGGTGAGTTTGTTTTGGGGTTTTGTGTGGTGGTGATGGTTAGGATATTTTTTTTGGGGTTAGGGGGTTTTAAAGGGTTTGAGGAGATTTTTTGGGGTGGTGGGTTGTTGTTTTTTGTTATGTTTGGATAGAGATAAATTTTATTTGTTTTTGGATGAGGGTGGGTGTGTGTAAGGGTGTATTATTTGTATGTTTTTAGTATTTGGTTGTTGATGGGATGTTTTTGTTTTTAGGTTTGATGAGTTTATTGAGGTGTTGGGTTTGTGGATGGTGTAGGGGGTTGGGGTGGGTTGGGTGTTTGGTTGTTTGGGATTTTAGGTTTGGGTTTGAGTGTGGGTGTGTGTTGGGGGTTGTGGGGGGGGGAGGGTGTATGTGGTTGTTGGAGTGGTTTTGTGGTAGTGGTGTTGGTGTGTTGTGGTTTTGTGGGTTTGTGTTGGGGGGTAGGTTGTGGGGGTTGGGGGTTGGGGGTGTAGTGGATGGGGGTGTATTGTTGTTGTGGGTGGTTTGTTTTTGGGGTTGGGGGTGGGGTTGGTTGTTGGGGGTGTTTGGGGGTATGGGTGGTATTTTGGGTTGGGGGGTGGGTGTTTGGTGTGTTTGGGGGTTGGGGGTTTGTTGGGTTGGGGGTAGGGGTGGGTAGTGTGGTGGGGGGTTTTGTGTATGGGGTGTTTGTGTGTGTTGGGTGGTTGGTTGGTGTTGTGTGGGTGGTGTGTGGGTTTGTTTTTGTGTGTTTTTGGATGATGG